AAGATCTCACCAGCAGCAATCAACCAGAACTGCGGAATCTGCCACCAAATGGAGACAGAGAAGACAGGCTTCGACATAACCATATACTCCACACCAAGAGCCACGAGTAGGGACGCCGCGCCACACAATGAACCAATGCAGAAACGTACCAGAACTGGTGGCATTAGGTTGCGCCTCTTCAAAAGAGGGAACAACACCGTATCAACCAAAACACTAGTCAAAACCACGGCAATAGGATCCACGTTCTGCATCATCTGAGCCGGCATCTCCCATCCGAACAGGTTGGTGTCCATCTTCTTACCTTGAGTTAGGAAAGCCGTCGTCATGTTATTGTAAGCCATCACGAAAGGTATAATGAGGGAAAATAAAGGCACCAATCGGAAGAGTGCCTTTGCATCCTCAATGAAACCATCCTTGAAACGACCACCATTGGACTCCTTGTTCTTTTCCAGGGAGCACCTCGTAATAGAAAAGAAGAGTACCTTGAGGATCTCCAATACAGCAGATCCCTGAGGCTTAGGCTTGACATAACGACCCATCAAGTTACCCCCAATAAAAACAATCGTTGCAATGATAAAGGCAACTAAAGGGAAAGAAAAGCTTGCAGTGAAAGAGACCGATTCGACCAAAATCGGAGTGACAATACCACCAACAATAGAACCAAGATTGATAGAAGCATAGAAATAGGTGTAATACCTTGTAATAAGATCTTTATGCTCCTCAGGATGGAACTGTTGAGCTCCCATGACATTCACACAACTCTTAATTCCACCCGCACCAAATGCGATTAGGAAGAGTAGTGAGACATGGATCATCCACGGCTGACTAATCGAATGTATCGTAGACAGCGTTAGAAGAGCCAAACCCGCCATGTAAACGAAGGAGAATGCCAGAATAGTGAGATAGAGTCCAAGTATCGTATCCGATATCACAGCAGAGAGAAGTGGAGTAACATAAAGGATAGCGTTGAACGTAGAGATATACGAATTAGCACCAGCGTCATCAACCCCAAGATACTCCT